AAAGTACACCCCCCCATCTATTTTTCTCTGTCCATTTAGTTCCATTTTTCGAATCCGTTTCTATGGCTGCGCTCGTGTGCATGAAGAGCATTCTGAAATGTCAATCGAATAAATATTTTATTTGTGATTGGTGATGATGATGCTGCAACAACAATTGTCACTTTATATGCGAGAGCATAAATGGGTATACGATATGGAATAATGGCAGCTGGCATTTTGTTTAATTTGCACGAATGGATGCGATTTATGTATTTGAAAGTTCCTCGTAACTGTCCATCCGTCTCTCCGTCCTCCGTCCCTCCGTCCGTTTGGCTATTAAGTATTTTAAAGTTTTACTTTTATCTGCAAGCAGTGTGCAAGCTTTTGCAAGTATTTTAATCTAAAATAGAACAGAACAGAACCGCAGCAAAGCGAACCCAAAACTTGTCCAGCGAGTTGACAGGAGAAGCAATTTGCGTCTTCACTTTCAGTGCTCCTTCCTCTTGAATCCACGACTTGGTCTGGTCTGTTCGTATTGCCCCGCCTTGTGGCAATGAACTTTTGCGGGATGATGCAGCCAAGAATTTGTAGCTTACTTTATCTGCACGAGTATCTGTATCTATCAGTTGCCCAGAGCTGTCAAACTTGTTTTGGCATCCCAACGAAACCGAAATGAAGCTTGTTTTCGGTTCGGTTCGGTTCTGCTTCGCTTTGCTGATGCTGCTGATGCTGCTGTTGCTGTGTACATGTTGCATGCCACATGTGGAAACCAATTGGCAGCAGGCAATCTACACAAACGACTTTTGTTGACCTTACGGATATGAAACGATAATGTTACGCTCTTATACAAATACCATCCCTTGTTATCGAATGCATATAAATGCGAGAAAAAGAGCCCCGAAGGGTGTGTGGACAGCAGATACCCTGCCACATACAGCGAGAAGAACTATGTATCTGCCAGAAGGTGGACATACTTTAATATTAAGCTATAGCTCTGAGCTTTATTTGCGTAGTGTACACATTTATCCACGTGTGTATATGTGACTGTGGCAGGCAGATGTAACATGGAAAACAATCAAATTTCAGGGCAAATGCTGGCAAAAAGAGCACACAGCACACAAAAACCAGAACCCAGCAACGAGATGGGGAGACAAAAGATTGCCTTAGGTTTTCCATTCATGTATTCGCTCATTCATTCGCTCACCCATTCATTCTTTCGCTCATTCAGTTGCCATGGCGTTTGTCTCTCCTGATATATATATTTTTTTTTTTTTTGCATGTGGGCTACGTCGTGTATACGTAATGTGTGTGTTCAGCCTCTATGGCGGCTTTTGTTCAACATGACAAAGACATGACAGCAACAGCAGCAGCAGCAGCAACAGCAGCAGCAAGAAATAGCAATAAGAAAATAAGGAAGAAATGGTGCGCGTTCTCGTAATGCTTTTAATGCTTTCAAAATTCTTCTTGGATTGATTTATGACAAGCAGCAAGAGGACCAGTGTCAGGAGCAGCTTGAGAGCCAGAGCAAGGACCAGCATCAGAGCCATAGCAAGGACCAGCAGCATCAGAGCCAGAACTAAGAGCGAGCCAGTAACAAATCAATAGACAGCTTTAAAGGTCACAGCAACTGGATGGGGGGACAAGAGAGCGGATTAGGGCTTACAGCCAAGTTATGAGAAAAGATCATTTTGTGGCTTTAAATTTATTGTAGCTGCTTGATTAATGTGGCAGCTCGTTCGCTTTACCACCCCATTCATTTATTAGAACCAAACCCGACAAGAGAATGACAAGCGAAGCACTCCATTGTCACTGGCGCATTCATCAATTTCACTTATTGTACTTTCGCATTCTAATAGCAAAATGTAAGCCAGGGACAGCAGGAAGACACAGACACCGTCCGGAGGAAAGGTGCAAAGGAATCGGATAGAACATAACAGGGGAAACGTCTATAGCCTTGGGTAAGGTAAACATTTTCCACCTCTTTGTTTGGCTGCCATTGGAAGTTCCCTCTGTGCTGTCAGTTACATTCATTTTCGTAGCTGATTTGCATATAGAAAACTTGTTAATAATGCCAACTAAGTTGTGGGCCACTCCCACACCCACTCACTCCCCCTTTCCCCTACGCAGCTCTACTCCGAAGCTTCCCTTACCCCAAAAAGCAACAACTTTGCCATTTGCCGGCTTAGGGGAAAGTTTCGTGATTGAGTTTTTGACAGTTTCTCTGAGGGATTGCTACCATCCTGTGGCAGGCACACAGAGATGGAGAGGTGTCTGCCATAAGCTTGTTTTGATTTTCCGTTTATTGTTTTTGCTCAGCTTTCGCCTCGGAAAGGAAAAGTTTCGACTGCTAATTGCCTGAGCTCATAATTAGAACAAATGCAAATGAATGGCATGCCATTTTTCGGGGGCTAGCCGCAGAGCCTCAGAACCTTTTTGCAATTTATGCAAATTACATTTGTGCGTTGAAATTCACGACTAATTAGACCAAAAGTTAAATCGAAAAAAAAAGTATGCCTCGACACGCCTCGTTTTATGTGACATTTTTTGTGACGTCTGACAGTTTTCTTGATGCTGCCACAATTTGCATAAACAACTGCAAATGAATGCTAAACCAAGAGAGAGAGAGAGAGAGACATAGGAAATACAGTTGCCACACCAGGTGGGTGCGGGACATGCAACAGCAAATGCCATGCAGCATTTATTTGCTTGTTCTTCCTGTATCTAGAATACAGGACAAACTTTTTGGGCTTACATTTTGCATGCACAAAACTTGAACAAAATACAGGAATGTCTCTGTCTCCGTCTCTGCATGAGCTCAGCTTCTCCACTCAAGTTTGAGAATATGATACAAACAGTTAAAGTTCCTGGGGATTAAGGTAAGAATATTAGCCGTATTTAAATACCGATTGAAATCGGCTTGGATGCACCCAACCATTGTGGCTTCCACATCCACTTTGGATTGCATTTAAATGCCATTTCACTGAGCATTTTCAGAGGCATCGAATCAATACGAATTAATTAACACATGGGCCAATTTGTGGTTTCAATAATTACGTTTAAATATTGTATTTTTTTTTCTCTTACTTTTATATGTAATTAATGTGGAATTGATACATATATGGCACGACAGAAGCGGCAGGACGGAAATTTTACGCGAGTGGGAGATAGATTAAAAGGGAATTAGCTGAGATGAAAAAACCAGGGTAAGAGTCTTAAAAATATAAGCAATATCAGAATTTAAGTGCCAAAGCTTCCCGATGATATTTTGATTTTAGGTCGCGGAAAGTTCTATCGATCAGAATTCACAGCAAATAAATTGTTTGGTTGCTGAAATTTGAATAGAGCTATGGAAAAAGCTATTCCCTATGTCCTTCTCCCTTCTCTGTCTATCTTTAATCTCAAAATGAAAGCCGAAAATTAGTTTGCAATTTTGTAATTTATTTTAGCGAATTTATTTGGCAGTGCGCGCTGCCCGCATTGATAGGCAACACAAAATGAGCAAAAATAGTGGCAACATTTTGGGGGCTTCAGCTGTTTTGGCCGTCCACTGACGCTTATTGCAATTAGCCCCGAAATGCGGTTCAATTAGCGGAGTGTACTGCTCCGGGCAGTGGGCATTGTATTGTGTGTGTGTGTGGGTGACTGACAGCAGCTCTGTGCAGCTAGCCGCTAATTTGCATATTGCATTACATGAACATTTCCCAACTAGCTGTGGGAACTGCATTGGTTTGGTGTTTGCTGCGGATTCACAGGGAGGGAGAGAGATAGTGGATTCAGGCAGATGGAATCAGCTTTCCGCTCTGAGCGAATCCCTACAATGCTTTTGGGCTTAATTAAAAATTGCATCCAAAATGCATGACCATGGCCAGAATGCCGTGCAGCAGTAATTCGATTGCCGCAGAACACTTTGCATTTTTTAGAACGGAAAACTTTATCTACAAAAATACATTTCGGTGCAGGCAGAGCCACAAATAAGAACCTTCCCTTTAAAGCAGAAATTGTCGCATCGATTTTGCCATAAATGTCCTGTAATGCCCCGGCATCATAAGGCGCGCGCGTTAACTCGCCAATAAGCGGCAAATCCTGCTTACAGCGCCTGTCTGTCTGCCATGTCTCCTTGGCTGTATGGCTGCATGGTTGGATGGCCGGATGGCCGGATGGCTGGGTATTTCTTTAAAGATAAAACTGGTGGGCTCCGACAACGGCGTAAACGTCAATTATGTGGGCGTATATCCACGGCCCGGATGATTGAATGACTGGAAGCTCTCGTTGTCGAAAACAAAAACTAAACAAACAGCATTCGGTACTGACGACAGACACTTGAACCTCGTCACTGCCATGAGCAGAGACAGGAGGTGGGCCAGAAGCAGCAGCAGCAGGTTCCAGTAGTAGCAGGAGCAGTCGACTGACATTTTTTTCGTTGAAAGTAATCCGCTCGTTGGCAAAATGTTTGATTTATGTCAACGTGAAGCTGTCTCTTGGATGAGGCTATTAGACCATTAGCCTGTAGCGGGACTATGCGGGTCCTAGTCCGTTCCCCAGTGTGCAGTTATATGGAATGGAATATTAGATAGTGCAGTGTAACGGCACACATTTGCACTTTGATTGGCTATCAGAACACCATTAAATGTCGCTTAATTACGTAAATGTTTTGGTTGAATGTTTCCTAATGTACTGCCATTGAGTTTCAGTTCATTGAATAGCCGTACATACGAGCATATATATATATATGCTGTCTGTCACAGTTCGGAGTAAATATGCAAAGATACGACTGGGTCATACTCATGAGTTTCGTCTTAAATTGTTTTATGAGAACTTCTCACACATTTTAAATTATCATTTATATATTTATGAATTGAATTGAATATAAATATTTAATATTAATTTAAATAAATATTTAAATATTAAATAAAAAAGTAAAATAAATAAATAAAAAATATGAAATATTTATATTTAAATATTTAATTATTAATTTAAAAATTTAATTTAATTTTTCAATAATTATTATTCAAATGTAATCTTCATCTACGTTTCCTTTGCAGGAAATCCACTAAATGCTCGCAAATAAATATCAGCCATGAAAGGAGTAGAGAGGCGCCGAGTAGTACCCAGACCCAGGTGAGGTCAGCCACCTTGAACTCATGAAATGCCGCATAGGGAAAGGGATCATCCTGAGGTATCAGACCCAATGAAATCATCTCGTGCAGCGTTTGCTGTTTCCAGTATGCCAAAAGTCCCGACGACTGAACACATAGTATGAGCCGATTGAGTGGACGCTCAAAGATGGAATTAGCCTGCATGGGCAGCGACAAGATGATCTGCGAGCCAAGAATCAGGCCGGGCATAGAGCAGAAGGCGGGCCGCTGGAATTGCTCCTGCCGCTTGGTCATGATGAGCCACTCGGAGGCGAGCCCGGAGAAAGCCTGCGACTTGTTCAGTGTTTTCCTGTTGTCCTGGAACTTCGCGGTGCTCAGATATATGATCTTGGAGCGTATCAACTCCACGGTATGGGGGCCCCAGAATGTGTCCAGATAGAAGTGCTCCGCCTCGTCAAAATAGATGTCCACCGGTGCATCGCGCAGCTGCTGGAAATTGGAAATCTGTCGGTCGGGGGGTCGCTTCGTCAGCAGGGTCTTCAGGTGAGCCGCAAAGAGGGTGCTCAGCACAAGGCCGAGCAGAAAGAGCTGGGAATGGGCGACCCTGGAGCTGATCATGTTGTGGGCACTCATATTGAACGACTGACCAATCATTCCCGATATGATGCGCTCGTTGAAGGCGAGTGTGCACCAGTCGATGCCTCGCTGCAGCAGCAGACAGCCAAAGCAGGTGTCCAGCAGCGCAAAGATGAAGTAGAAGCCCGCCAGGATGCCCAGAAACTTCTTGCCACACAGGATCCCATATACATCGGCTGTCGAAATCTCCTCTGCACAGGGCACCATTATGAACCACTTTTCCAGATCGTAGGGCACCGAGAAGACGCCCGATTCGCTGGGCGCCTCATAGCCGCACAGGCTGATGGGCATGCTGATGGTGCCGTTCAGTGTCAGATTCCTTAGGAGTATCAGCGACATGTGCTTGCCGGGTACAACGGGACGCTGCCACTGGATGGTCAGGTTGTAGATGCGGGCAAACTCCATCACTAGTTTGGACACATAGCCCGTCAGGCCGAGTTCCAGGGTGTGGGGATCCTGGTAGACCAGCGAACGTGGGGGAAATTGATCGGGCAGCGTCACTATGGCCCTGCCCTGATAGTCCCGAATGTTGCCAAAGATGGGTTCTCTTCTGGCATCTATCTCTCGCCAATGCTGCTGGGCATAAGGCTGCAGGCGATATACCGTACCTTTGGCACTCAGGACAGCCACATGAAGAAATCTCAGGGGCTCTGCGGTGGCTGCAATTTGCTGAAGTGGCTGTCCTTGCTCCGTTTGCAGCACCAGCAGCAGCCTGACATGCCTCATATTCAGGAGATTCCTGTCCAATGCCTGCCACAGCTCCATGTTCATTTCATTGTTGTCGCCACTCAGCCAGACCAGGGCCAGCATCTCGTTGTTGTAGCTGCCACTCAGATAGCAATCCACTTGCTCATCGAAGCTTAGGACAGGCCAGGACCAGGCCCAGGCCCAGGCCCACCGCCCATCCGGCTCCTCTGCCTGGCTGCTTCGGCTGTGTCGCAGCATCAAAAGCGTCTCAAAGGGCAGATCCGCATAGATGGAGTCCAGTATCTGGTTCAGCTCACTTGCTGCTGTGTTTGCCAGAAGCAGCAGTAGAACCAGCAGCTGCCACATGTCGCAAGGGAATGGTTGCAACTTCACCAGGCGTCCAAGAGTCCAGGAGCCATATGGCCTGAGCTTATCTTTCGGCATCGGTGCCTAATTAGTGGAGGTTACAAATGATTTGGGCGCCCCTTAAATGCTCTAATGGTCTTCGGATTGCAGGCAACTGAGAAATGGCCGCCATTAGCATAAAGTTTTACGACTTTAATGTGCTTTAATGAGTATCTCCAGCAAGAAAATGGGGGAAATTCAGGAAAATGTTAGCCTGCCAGTGGCATTTCGATCACTCAATGAATACTCTAAAGCGATTAAATGTCCTTCCTGAGGATATGCTTTGCAGGTTGCAGGTCTAATTGCTTCTGCAAATTGTTTCCAAATATGCATATCCTGCTTAGGGATAAGTGCTCTTTGCATTTGATTTATGTGCAGTTCCGTTTGTGAAATGTTTGCCATGAAGCTTCAGCTATTCGTTTTATTGAGTTTATTGATTGTCTGGGAAAGTATTTATGAACCCTTGAGGCAGATATTCGCACCCGCTTTACAATAATTGTTCTCGCATGAATTTTGCATCATTTTTATGTGGACCATTTACCCGCCCATTTGACGGGGGAGGTAAGCCCCCGCTCACATCAACTTTTCCACAAGTTTGCTCGGCACTCAGTTGAATTTTCCTAGTTGAAATTTTCCACATTTGCACTTCCATTTCTACTGTGGATGCTGTTTCCGCTGCTTCTCTTTCAATTAAACAAGTTAAATGGGGGGAAAAAAGCGTTGAAAAAAGAAAGGAGAGAAAATGTTGAATGTTGAATGAGTCGAGTGCTTGAAGGGCGTGTCGCATTAATTTTCACGCGAGTGCATATTTGATTTTACTTTATTCATATTTCTGTGCCTCGCAGGACTTGGCTCTGCACTTCTCCGTCTCCGTGTCGCCGTGTCCGTGTATTTGCATAAAGTCGTGCGGGGTTCCTGCTCCTTGGCGTTGACATGCATAAAATTGTAAAAGAACGCTTGACGTTGCCAGACATAATTTATGCCACAGCCTCATGCGTTTTTTTTGCCTTCTTCTTTTGCCGCTGTGCAATGTTGCGTATGCGTAATGTAGCATTAATTGTATTTATTTGCTTTGCTGATTGATTTCATCCGCACTCTACGCTCTTCCTACCGTTCCTAAAACATCCGTTTGAGCTAGACAATTTGGTTTATCAAAGTCATTTGGCTTCTGGCCCCGAGGCATATCCCCGACCACGCCCCCATAAATTAACGCAGACTTAACGAAGCGTTAACACAAAAGAAGGAGCAGCCTCCGCCAAGCAGCTTGTCCTGCGTGCGACAATAAATTTATTGGTTTTATCCTGTTTTATCCGGGGGCAAGGGAATGGGAAAGGGAATGGGAATGGGCCACCCTCCTTTCCAAATGGAGCTTATCGTGACTGCCTCTGTTGTCGCTGTCTCGTCTGTTCATCTCCGGTGAATATATGCAGTAAATTTTTATGTCAAATGAGTTTCGGTGGCTGTTTCCCTTTTCCCTGACAGCCCGTAATATAATTTATGCATAAAATAATGAGGCTATACGAGCAGGAGGAGGAGGAGCAGCAGCAGCAGCAGCGTGCATGTGAGTGAAAAGTTATTAATTGATTTGGCTTTAAAGCTGTTCCATCCAGCACCTCCAATGATCCAGTCATTGAGTGGCGGCGAACGGGAAGTCGTTGAAAAGTTTGCCCGAGGTAGGCAGAAAAAAAAGGGAAAAGTTTTCCCTGCTTTTGCTGCCACTTGAAACCTGAAGCCTGAAGCATGCCTCCTGTTTCGATGGAGGGTTTTCTTAAGATTTTTCGACAATGTGTTAAGTGAAAATTGACACAGGCCAAAGGGGACAGCTTTCCATGATCGAACGCATTTTGAAAGGAGTCCTCAAGGACCCGCACTCACATGTACGAGTATGTAGATGGCTGTATCTGTGGCGGCTTTAAAGTTTTCCTTGTAAAAGTTGTACCATGTTAAGCTGTGAAATTGTTCGCCATTTTGTGGACGCCATTTTGAGTTTTGCGCTTTTTTAATTAAAAAGTGGCCATCTGTCGGTGGGGGTGGGGGGGAAGGAGAACAGGCGACAGCCATTTGAACTTGTTCTTTTGCCTCTTTTCCATTTCCAATCCGAAGTTCTCTGTGTTGCCACTGTTGCGAAAACTTTAGACAAAAAAGTAATTAAAATACGGCAAATATTTGCAGACCGTTCGAATGCAGTTCTCTGGCTAGCCGCCGATTTAAGCCAATTCTGCAAGTAATGCCAAGAACCCAGGGCTGTACCTTGACCGTGTTCCGTATTCCGTATGGCTGTATCTAATACGGAAAAAAACTGAGCAGACTTTCAGCGTTCCGTTCCGTTTCGCTTGCCTGATAAGCGGGCCACATCCGCATCCATTTTGCGAGCTTTCGCTTGTTTGTCATCCTTTTTGCGGTCTCGACTTGTCGCTGGCTCTGCTGATCCTACTCCTGTTCCAGCTACCACTCCCCATACCCGCTTACAAATGCCTTTCATATGATTGCGGCTTTTGCATATTTGCCATGAATACAATTTGCACAAACTCACCGCAAGTCGAGGTTGAATTATGCGTGAATACTCCCAGCTCTGCGGAGTATGTTCTCAGGGGTTGTCTGTCGCCTGAAACCCCCAACCCAGAATCCTAACATCCTAACTCACGTTGTGGCTGTCTACCACAAACTGAGTTACATTCGGTATGTGCAGAATTTAGTTGTCAACCTTGATTCTGGCCAATATATTGAGTCGCAATGTCGGCAAGAATTTTGTTTGCGAGAAGTCACAAGGCTGAACTTAAAGGAATGCAAAGGAATTATTGATGAGGGTTCAAACCATAGGTGGAGCGAGATGAGAGCTTTAAATTTAATTTTATTTTGCTTAAATCGGTTGACGGAATCTTTGAAATATTATAGGTAATCTCTGATATTGGAAGAACATTTACAGATCAAACACCTCGTACACCTAGCCATGTTTAGCCTGTGGTACCTAGTTCTGACCATGTTTACCCTGTAGTACGGGCAGTACCCACACGGTCGCATCTTTAGTAAACTTAAAGAGAGAGAGAGAGAGACCCCAGACGCTGGGTCCCCACACGGAAACCAAAACAGAGAAACATTGCGAAATCGCTTTGAGGCGCCCCACCGGACACCCCAAACAGCCCCCCGCACCAGCAGGCAAACAGCGAGCACGTGTATTTGCCGCATGCTGATTGGCCAACGGCTTTCGCTTTTCGCTTCCGCAGAGAGGAGGCCAGAGTCAGCCGACGACGACAACAGGCACCGAGCATAAGAGAGCGTGCTAAGAGAGCGCCAGATGATGGCCAAGCAAAGTAAGTTAGCCGAAGGTGAGGTATTCTCAGCTCAGTTTAAATGCATTTTATTCTCCTTTGGGTTCTCTTGTTCTCAAGTTTCTGGTACGAAAATCGAATGTTTTGAATTTTTTGTATGTCAGTTTCCCAATTTGAATTTTTCATTTTATTTTATGCATTATTTTAATTTTGAAATGATTTAAACTTTGAAAATATATTTAATTTTATTCTTAATAAATTGAATCAAATTAAATTATATTTTATTTATCATTAATGGATAATTTTTCATTTACTTTAGGGAAAGAAACCCTTAACCCAACTTAACAAAATTTAGATGACTTTGAAATTACTGAAACTATCAATTTTAAAGAATTTTAGCCGCCCTTATTATTTTTCACATGCCTGAATGACTTCAGTTGTTTCAACAAGAGAGCAAGAGACAGAGTGGCCAACTAAATATGCTACCCAAAGAGCGTGCAGACCTCACTCTTTGCATGAAGACACCATGGAAACAAACAGGTTTTCCGAGCGTCAGAGAGAGGAGCCGGAGCCCCCACAGAGAAACAGACACCCTGTATGCTGGCATAGCATTCGGGCCTGGTGCTTGCTTGGGCACTCTTGCCGCTGCCGAGCCAACATCAGTTTTGGGTGGTTCGGCGTTAATCGTGGTTGTTCCGACACAGGCGTATACAATTTGTACGCATCGTCCGCTCAGTTCTGGCGTCGCACTGAAAAACGAAATTCTGTTTCTGTTTCTTGCATACCGGTTGCTTCACGTTCGATTCGCGTTGATTGAGTATTATTGACTGAACAGCGGTTCTAACGCATTGGAATATCTATCGTTTATCCGAGCATAATACAAGTAATTTTCCATTCAATATTTTATTAATAAAATCATGCAGGGCCACATGCCACTCCCGCACCCCTCCATCCAAAAATATTGGTTCTTATTGGTTTGCGTCCGATGCATTCTGGAAAACGGGTTTTACGGCATTCTCCATCTGCATTTGACTTGGGTTCTGTCGGTCTGGTCTGTCTGGGTTTTGTTCGTGACGAAAGTGAAGTTCTCTCCGCGATCATAATCTAAGCAACATTTCCGTTACGTTACCGCAACGACTTGTAGGATATGCAAATAAAGAACGTAAAGCAAAACTTGCGAAAATTTATAACTTAATATTCAAGTAGAATATAACAACAACAACAAAAAACTACCAAAGCCGAAAAAAAAAAACCAAAAACTAAAAGCCAAACATAGCAACAAGTCGGCGCCAGTTGGTCAACTCTCTCAGAGCCCCCCAAAAAGCCAAGTTGTTGAGGCACGGAAAAAAGCGTCGTCTTCATCGGCGTCCGTTTCCAAGAATTGGCAGTTAATTTTTGAAATCACCTCCAACAAAAATACAAAAAAAAAGAACCAAAAAGCATCAGAGAAGGAAAAGAAAGAGAACCGAACCCAAGCGAACTAAAAGCCGTAGGTGTGTTACACCTGTGTCTGTGTCTGTGTGTGTGTGTGTGTGTGTGAGTTTTCGTGTGAGATAACTGTGAAATTATATACCCGACGAGCAGCGGCTGTGACATTCGAGAACTGTTCGAACGCATAGAAATGGAAAGTTTTGCGCATAATGAAAGAATTGCAGAAAATAAGAAAAAATTAAAAAAAAGAGCAGAAAAGATTTTGCAGTTCGCAGCTAAAAAACTGATTACGCGACGCGACGCGACGCGTTCTAGATACATTCTGGGTTGCAGTGCACA